AGTTACTTTTAGAGCAAATAATACAAACCTCTTTCAAGTTGCATCGCATCCCCGATGTCTCTGTGTCGTTTTGTAGCATTCTTTAATTTTATCATAAAGTAGTTCGTGCGTAATTACTGAAAGAACATTTTTATTTTTTTATCTTTTTTGATTGAGTGAATAAAACGTTTTTCCAGAACTGAGTGAGAAACTTACTTAATTACAAACAAAAATTATGATTTTTTCGTGTGTTCGACGGTGATATAGGCAGCTCGACATCTTTATAAATCTGAGGTGCATTTTATTGAAAAATATTTCAGCATAATGTTCAAATTCTGTACTTAGAAATCGCGTGATAAGTGGAAAAATGTACTGTCTATTTAGTGATATTTTAATTGTTTAACTTGATGCCTAAATAGTTTGAACGTTCCGACTAAAAATCCAAGTCGAAAATCAAACTTTTCCAAACAAACATCGTCGATTTTTCAGCACGAAAAGTTAAAAATTAAAAACTACATATTCCTGATCTACTTGAAAAGCTCTATCGAATGGTATAGTTCAAAAACAAATCTCACTTGATTTTTGAATTAGCTGCACCTTACCGTATCGAGAAAACGGTGTAACCGAGTTAATATTGCAAATAGTTTAAAATAAGCTGTTACTATTGTAAAACTAAACCTTTATGTATGACAATCTGTCGGTATAAAATCTGTAGAATTAAACTGTTTGAGACTGTTTTAAATTGTTTTATCTGATAATTCACGTAGTTTTATATTCTGATGCTGATAGCATATATTTTGCATGTTTCATGCATCAGGCAACTCAAAAGTTGCTACATATAAAAGTAAATGTATCTGATTAATTTGTGACTAACACACAATATAATCCTGGCCTTCTTTTTCTTTTGTCCTAAAAATTTAAGACTTTCTCTGGAAAAAATCAACCTCAGACGCCAGTGTCCTTTTATAATACTGTTGAAACGTATTCGATAGCTCTGAAACAAAGACAGGCTACGCCTAAACATATTCATCTGCAGTTAAGCTTGTTCAGTCGCGTCGAAAGTCCTGTTCGTTTCTTCAGCTAAAATTACTAGAACATAGAAAATGAATCACGTCAGTTGTCGTGCCAATTTTTGAAATTCGACTGTTATTTCATACAAAATATCGATTTTTGTGGGTCATTAAACATTTCACTCCAAATTGATTCAAATGGCACCTGGATCTGGGATCCTAAACCACATACTACTCTCTTCGAGTTCTGAATTGACACTTCATATGTCATGATCAATCTCGATCTGAATATGCTGAATGATCAAATAAAGATACTGCTCTCCACCTCATATCTTGTTTTAAATTGTAAAGAATTCTGAACTTTTCTCACACCGGATACTCTTTTCATTGCGATTAACATACCTCGTTCAGTTTTCATTATTAGAACCTTCCAAACAGAAAAGCGTGATCAACAACACTACGGATATTGTGTTAGATGTAATTTTTCGTTGACTGGACCATTAATAGATCTGCCGCTCATTTTTCATCCCAGATCTGTGCCTCCCGGATTACCGGAATCCCCAGAGACTTTTCTGAAGGTATCCGCATTTCCTGCGCTTTATATTCTAAAATCAGTACATTCTAACATCCACTATTTGTTGAGAAAGCCGACAAACGAAAAACATACAGAGAAAAGACGACAAATAATGCATCTGTTTTCCTATACATTTACACAAATAGGTAAATGAAAAGAAATAAAACGGTCCGTAACACGAATATTCCACAAATCGACTCTTCGTGAACTAGAATCGTATTTCGAATACTTATGTTCATGTAAACCAGGAAAGCTTTCTTAACATATGTGGCTCATAAATTCGCACTCTTATTTATGGAATCTAATTCAATGATTGGGAGCAGAGCCCTGCAGGTTGATTCTAACCTAACCTATAGGTTAAGTTAGGATTAGGTTGCAAAAGCTATAGGTTAGGTTAGGATTAGGTTGCGAAAGTTATAGGCTAGGTTAGGTTATAGGTTGTTCTATTTTTTTTTTCAATGGTTAGGTTAGGATTAGGTTGTCGACTCCATAGGTTAGGTTAGGATTAGGTTGTCGACTCCATAGGTTAGGTTAGGATTAGGTTGTGAAATTTTTTATAGCTTAGGTTATAGGTTGCCAAATATTGGCAACCTGCAGGGCTCTGATTGGGAGCCGATTTGATCGATTTAGTTTTTTGATAAGATCTTTCCAAAGGAATAAAACAAATACATGGTGTGGTAATAGTGGACGAGTTCTAGATTCGTGATAACTAAATGGACTGAATGTTATAAAACACGAGACGCACAGCACCACAAAATATGATTCGATGCAGGAAGCTGGCTCTCAAAACGCTGTTTTCTGTCTTATTATGACAATTGGTCTAGTTCTCATACAACAGAGATAAATGTAGAAGGTAGACTAACAATCACCAATACGATATCAATAATTGCTCACAGCTACTTGTCAGCGAAATGAGAAAACAAGATCATCATATAATAGTCAGACTATCAAACTTATCACGGCAACATTCGATCACATACTCATAAAGGTGTTTCCAACTATTTAGAATCAGAACACACCATAACTACGATATGGCTCCGTTATTCTACGGACGTACATAGATTGTATAGTTTCAAAATAAAGGAAAAACTGGGCAAATCTCTGTATGATTGTTTCCTTCTAAAAGAATTCCTTATACTCACAGTGGATAAAAGTATGAATAAAATGTTATCGTAGGCGTAGAAAACTGCACGTTCTAAAATACATCAGTCTTCAATTTCTTTCTCTCATAAAATAGAAGACAAAAATGAAGAAAAGAAAGCGATTGTATTCGTGCTTTTTCTAAGGTCTCTTCTCTCTCAGTGATCAATTTTCTTTTAAAATACGTGGCCAACATATTCAACATATATCAGAGAATATCATCATTTAAATAATAACAAAAAGAAATTTTAGTACTTTGTCATGCAGTAAACATATTCTGTAGAATTTGATACTTGATACGTATACATCATACGCAGAGAAATTAGCGTAAACAAATGGGCGATATATTCGACAATGAATTTTGGGTTATAACATATGGTGCAAAAGTGATGGCAATAATGTCAAACTGTGTTACACCGTATTGCCGACTTCTAAACCAATCAAAAATTGTTTTGTTGGAAAGAGCAAAGTCTGAGCTACAAGTTTTATACCAGAGATATTTTTCGAGAACCAATCTGAGAAGGAGGAAAAGTCAAAAACCAAACACCTCTGAAAAAGTTTTTACAACTTGAAAAGTTTGTATTTGTCAATTATTTCGGGGCTCCATGTATCGCACTGGAACAAAAAATACATCAAAATGTAGCGGATCAAAAACTCTATCGATATTAACATTGGTAAAAGTTTTAGATCCGTTCTTGATTCTTTAATCAAAAACGTTTTAAACATCAATTTTTTGTAAAATCGAGTCTTTTGCAAAACTATCACTTTGCAAGAAAATCAGCCATCATCTTCAGAAATTATGCATGAACTGAATTCTTTTTGCGTTATTTGTTAGAAACATGTCTGATCGTAGAAATTTTGCAAAAAAAATAATTCAAAAAAGATTTTTTATCGTTGCAAAACGGCCAGGTAGTAGGACCGACCAACTTATTTAGTCTCTTATAGAAAAAGCTGTATTGTGGTACAAAAATGAAGAGTAAATATAACTTCCAATATACCATTGGAAAGAGCACTCTTTATGATACAAAAATCATCATTTAACGTGTTCCCTCATTTCTCTTCTGATGAAAAAAACTAATAGGAAATAGAAAATGATGTTGCTCCATGGCGAAGTTGCAAGGAGTTTTTCAGACGTGTTTGGTTTTTGACTTTTCCCCCTTCTCAAATTTGTTCTGAGAAAATATGTCTGGTACAAGTTGTAGCTCAAACTTTGCTCTTTCCAACCAAAAAAAGTTTGATTGGTTTAGAAGTCAGCAATATGGTCTAACAGAGTTTGACATTATTGCCATTACTTGTGCATCATATGTTAATTTACTGATTCACTGATGGTTTTATTCACAAACATCAGTAATAAAGTCTGACTGTATCGGACAACACCTTTTCACCGAAGTGGTTACGTAATAATTGTTGAGGCTTCGTCTATCATTATTTAATAGATGCTGCTCGAACGTGAGACAAAATGAGATATCTACCGTCCGGCGGGATTTTTCTTCCCTCAGAGAGCAACTGGAGAGCTCGGATTGATTTTTCAATATCAGTTTAAGTTAGAGTAACAACGTAAAAGAGCCAAATTATTGAATTATCTTTCTGTTTTATTTTCTGAAGGATTTCAACTCAAAAGATCGAAAAGCGTAACAACTGGTTGTATAACTTTCAACAATGGAAAGCATTGACAACTTAAATAAAAAGTCCGGTTTTCTTACGCCATTTCCATGCCTGTTCGCTTCAATTTAAGATCAATTCGAGGTCTCCATCTTTTAAAATGGCTGAGAAATTTAATAGATACTGTTGACTGCCGAGCAAAAAAGCACTTTTAAGAATGGTAAGTCCAGTATACGGCGCCTATGTTTGACCTTTTCGTATAACTGTCATAACTCTTGACTGAAACGTTGTCTGCAGTTGGCCGACGTCTTAAAAGAAATTGATCATTGAGAGAGAATAGGCCTTGAGAAAAGCACGAATACAATCGCTTTCTTTTCTTCATTTTTGTGTTATATTTCATGAGAGAAAGAAATTGAAGACTGATGTTAGAACGTGCAGTTTTCTGCGCCTACGATAACATTTTATTCATACTTTTATTCACTGTGAGTATGAGGAATTCTTTTGGGAAAAACAATCATATTTTTTCATAGATTTGCCTAGTTTTTTTTAATTTTAAGGCTATACAATCTATGCGATCCATCGATGAGCGAATACTGGCGTTGTATTATCCATAGAGAATGACGACAAAAAGGAAAGTTGGCGTTATTTTTATATTACTATTTGGCGTCTTCAAGTCTCTTGACAATCACTTTCACATGTATTACACAAATATTGAGAATAATAGTGATTTCTATGATTGTCTCTATATATATTCAAAACAAGAGATTCGAAGTGCGCGTTACAACTGGCCAAAAGAGAATCGAGCATTACAATTGGTTCCGTATTGTATTCGAACACCATATCTAAAGAATCGGACTAATGACTTGAATTGCCACGGCAAACTATACTCATTCGATGAATTAAAAGCGAGAAACATAACCAGTGAACAGTTATTTGATTGGCATGCACCGACTGATACCATAGATGATTATGGTAAATATTTAACAAATTCTCAGGAAACCAATGGATCTTTTTGCAATTGTACTAATCAACACTATTTCGGTACAAGTTGTCAGTACACATTTAAAACTAATGAGACGTCGTTTGAACAAATAACTAAAACACGCTTTAAGATGAAATACCGGAGAAGTGAAATCGAATTGGGTTTAGATGACATTACGTGTTATATAAATCACAAATGCAAGGGAAATATTACATGTCTAGATTGGCGACAGATTTGTAACGGCATGGTTGACTGCGATGATGAAAGTGATGAATATCGCTGTACAGAGTTAGAGGGAAACGAATGTGACGATGAAACGGAATTTCGATGTAATAATGGAATGTGCATTCCAAAGAGTTTTTCATTTGACCTTGTTTTTGACTGTTCTGACGCCAGCGATGAGCAGTTTGGAACAGGAACATTTTACACTTATCCGTGCACGCAAAGCCACCTTATCGAGTGTGAAGAATATAACTGTGGATGGTTGACATATTCTTGTAGTGATGGAGACTGTATTTTTAATGATGTTTGGTCCTGTACAAATGGTCGTTATGAAGTCTATGTGAGAAAAATGTTTGAATATGTTTCAGATGGTTCGTTGAGCATAGTTTGCTGGAAAACAATGTTGTGTCTGATGGGTTTTACCGATCTGTATGAAATTGACTGGGATGTTTGTGAGCAATGGTGCGAAGATTCATGTGAATCACAGCTACCCATCGTATGTAATGACACATTCTTTTTTCCACAAGGTCCGTTCCTGTTTCCTTTTGTACGTGCGTTATACATGAACAATAAAACAAATTGGGAAGAAGATAAACTGCCCGATTTTATTTGTTTCGATTCAAGAGTGTGCCCATACTATTTAGGTTTACCGATGGCTGATGGTTTTCTCTGTCGTTCGGCAGAGGAGTTGAAGTCTCGAGTCGCGGATGCAGATTGGAACGAATTTCTAAGTGAAGTTCTACTATTTTTCTCCAGTTGTTCTGCGTCGAGACAGCTTCTTAATGACACCGTATGTGCACAAAACTTGTTTAAATGTAATATTACGAATAGGTGCTTATCAAAACATCGTGTTGGTGATGGTTATATAGATTGTTTTTCAAGGATCGATGAAAAATATTCAGATACATGTGAACTCAATTTTACTAATCGTTTCAAATGTTTCAATGGAAAGCAGTGCATTCCGAGAAAATACCTATCTGATCGGCATTCTGATTGCGACGATGGATCCGATGAATATCTAAGTAGTACATGTAACGTTGTCGATAGCACTACGTGCCAGTATCTACAAGGTGCCTCTCTGATATCAGCAATTGTCAATTTTCAAGACATTTGCAATGGTGATAAACTGTATCTTTTTTCTAAAGATAATGATACAGATGAGTCAGAATGCGATGAATGGCCTCTAGTATTCGAAGATATAACTTGTGATGGAGTTTGGAATACGGTAAATGGTAGGGATGAACTTGATTGTGGAAACAGAACCATTGAGTCAAATATCGCTTATAGTGTAGGTAAATGTAAAACGACAGAGCATTATTGCATTAAGTCCACCATTGAAACTATAGAATGCTTGCCATTAGAAAAGGCGGGTGATGGAGTTATTGATTGTCTAGGAGCGTCAGATGAGAGGCACATGTATTGTGGAAGCGAGTGGGGAAGATATAAATGCTTGAACAGCAGTAAATGCATTCATCCGCATCAACTGTGTGATCGCAGGCATGATTGTCCATTGAATGATGACGAGGATACCTGTAATTATAATGGATGTCTTGTCGGAGAGTTTTTTCCTTGTAAAAGTACGTGTCTTAGTCGAAATTCTCGGTGTGATGGTGTGATTGATTGTTTACCGGAAGGTGAAGACGAATGGTTGTGCGATTTAATGGATCGACGAAAATACAAACCTCTAACCACTATCGATACTGAGTATCTGTCTGCGAGATCTCTTAAAACCGGTACACATTCAGAAAACGGTTTCTTCACAGTGTCTAATGAGCGACATACTAGAAATGACGACCATACTGTTTTTTATTGTTATCGGGGTGTATTGATAAGCTCAGAAGATGCGCCATTTGAACATTGTCTCTGTTCACCAGCTTACTATGGTTCGAGATGCCAGTACCAACGTGAAAGAATATCCGTCGTTATCCAGGTGGAAACCCCCATCTCATGGAATAGTCATGCAATTCTCCGGTTATTGTTTACTCTGTTTGACAGAAGCGGTACGATGATTGGACGCGAACAGATTGTTCATGTTCCATTTCTCCATTCAACGCTGAAACATATCTTCTACTTGATACCATCAAAAACAAACATCGGCGATTATTACGTGCAAGTCCATGCCTATTTGATCACGTACAGTAGTGTCAAACTGCATTCATCATGGTACTTTGGGATTGACTTTTCCTTCCTACCGGTTAACAGGCTCGCTGTGCTGTTGGAATTCCCAGTTAGCAACGTAGAAGGTAGTGTTTGTAAAAAAGGAGCATTCGACTGCTCAAATCATGGTCAATGTAGAAGCTATGTAAACGCTCCACAACAGTATTATTGTTTATGCAACGACGGCTGGGCAGGAGCTCGTTGTCACATTTCTGATCTTAGAAAATGCGGAGAATATTCTCAGCTTTTTGACACTGAATGTATTTGTCCATTGGGAAAATTCGGCTCGAGTTGTCATGCGACGTATAGTGGATGTCCGAAAGAGCTTTGTATGAGTAATGGAACATGTGTTGTCTTCGATCCTAGAACCCAGAAATACGGTTGTTTGTGTTCAGACCATTATTACGGCGAGTTTTGCCAATTTCGATCAATCCAAGTTGATATTTTTATTAATATTACAATAGACTTCGCTCCAGTTAAACAAATTCCGGCACTTTTCGTTCACTTTTATGATATTATCAGTGTTTCTGACGGTTTTATGACACGAATGAATTACTTTCTGTTAAAAGACGTTCCATTGAATACTACTATTCAAGTGCTGGATAAGGTGTCTCAACAGTTACCTAGATTCGTTTTTGTCCAGCTCTTTTTGAATTCGACCGATAAACACGGTTTGTTTTATTTTATTCTCAATCTCGTTACGAATCGAAATGCCTCTTATGTCAACGCTCAACTGCTGCCATCCAACTACTGTCCTAACATCCGCCAATATCTGAATAAAACTATCGTTTCATATGCATTGATGAAGCGAGTCAAATATTTTATTAAGCTTTGTAATAATACCCATTTACGTTGCTTCACTGATGATGTGTTTATGTGTTTTTGTGGCAATCACAGTTATCGTCCTGACTGTCTGGCCTTTAATCAATCAGCTGTTGAGTGTTCAGAACGAAATTATTGTCTAAACAGAGGTTTGTGCGTTCAGGTTAAACAACTTGGAGTTTCTAATACAGCTTGCATATGTCCGAACTGCTACTTCGGGCGTTCTTGTCAGTTTACGACCGCTCAGTATTCACTATCGGTCGATGCGTTGCTCGGATCAGATACTTTGGGCGGTCAGCCACTCTTTGATCAGCCGCTGTTGATCCAGTTCATCCTCGGCATTGTCATCGTGATAGTAGTAGTTGGACTTGTGGCGAACAGCATATCTTTGATGACATTTTGCCAATCGAAAACACGTATAGTCGGATGTGGAATCTACTTGTTAGTACTTTCCGTCGTCGGTCAGTTGGGACTCTTTGTTCTCAGCATTAGATTCTTTCATTTGCTAGTGAATGTTTGGCAAAAAGAAACGTGCATCACTGTAGAATATCTTTTATCGATTCTTCCAACTTATTTTGACTGGTTAACAGCTTGTATCGCGGTGGAACGAGCTGTACACGTTGTCAAAGGCGTAAATTTCAACAAAGATCTTAGTTTAAAGGCAGCTAAGTTGATGGTATGTTTTGTTCTCGCTCTCGTCACTAGCAGTTGTGCACACAAAGTGTTTAGTCGTCAAGTGATTAGTGATCCACAATCGACTGATCGTTCATGGTGTGTGATGAAATTTGATTCTCGAGCATTGGAATTATATGAAATGAGCATAAATCTATTCCATTTAATCGCTCCATGCTTAATTAATGTCCTGTCAACAGTCGTATTTATTGTTAGTCTTACTCGTCGAAAATCTCGCTCATTACTCTCAACTGACACGGTCGCATCGCTCCTCAGAAAACAAATTACCACCTATAGACCGTTTATCATCAGTCCGATTGTGTTGAGCACTCTCGAATTACCTCGTCTCATTTTCACATTCGCACTGTCCTGTGTGACTTACCCGTGGCAAAAATATCTCTATCTAGCCGGTCATCTTGTTTCATATTTACCGCTTATGTGCACGCTGTTTATTTTTGTTTTACCATCACCCGTTTATAAAAGGGAAATAATCGAATTGTGGAAGAGAGTTAGAGTGAATGTTGTTAGAGGAAGTTGAAGGTGACATACATTTGTGTTTGTTATACGAAAGAGTTTTATTAGAAAAAGCACTCGTTTTTCTTGACTTTTATACTTCTCGGTTGTTCTGCTACCACTAATCATCTTTCAAAATGTATTAATCTCCTTCTCCTACTAATCAAAATTGTTCTGCTTTCCATCTCCGCTCGACCATACTCAAAAAGCAGTTTATTTATGCATATTAAACTGTCCCGCATTTCCATAGGATGTACAGCAGATTTGAAATTTAGATTCTCTTGAAACAAAATAAATAAGTTATGAATCTATGTAACTTAGTTTTCTCAAATTTTTTTTCTTTCTCACGTTCTTCTTTGCTTATAAACATGATATGTACTTATGTTGCTTTAGAGAATAATTTTTGTGTACAGATCCCATATACAAAATGATGAAACATGTTTTATTTAATTTGGAGAAGTGACGAGAAAAATATATATATGTCATTCACGTGCTATATAAGCTTTAAGCGTTTGTTGTATCTCACCGGATTTTCAAAAACCTTTTCTTCTTACATTTTCATAAAATCACATGCACTCGTTGCAGTTTTTCACGCTGATCATGAATATTGCCTTTAAGAGGCCAGTAGAACCAGATATGATCATATCACAGATTTAAATAACATTGTAGACCTATATGTAACTAGATAATAATAAAAATAGCGTCACTTAAAGCTGCTTCACTCTCGAGATATAAAGGGACAAGCGACAACACCACAAATCGATCATTTTCACCTAGTTTAGAATCAAATCTTTCTCATCTACAGAAATCAACGTTAAAAACTAGCTCTTAATGGGGGGGTTCCATTTCCCCTGTATGTGCCCTCAAACTATGTCAGTTTGAAGAGGTGATGACATATATCTGTTAGTTTTCTCGATGAACTGATAACTATTTACAGAGCTATTAATTAATTAAGTTTAAATTTTAATTATAATTTCGATTTCGACGGTATTGTAAAATAATTCATTATATTTTATTGGAATGTCCGATCGACATCCCGGTAGAGTTATTCTGTAGACAATCTTTGGTTGTATATAATAAGTTTTAAAAAGTCTGAAAAGTTTTCCTGCGACATAGGTTTTTCAAGTGAAACATTGTAATCAATAATTTTTAATTGTGACATGGTGGCAAGATAGTCCTAAGTGGTCTCTACAATTCTGCGCAAGGCCGACCTCTCCATCTGTTGTGGTTCTAGAATGGCAGGCATTTACCCGAAGAACTAATAACGAATGACGGGTGACTCCCGAAAATGCCTACCATTCGAGAACCACAGCAGATAGAGAGGTCGGCCATGCGCAGAACTGTAGAGACCACTTTGGGCTATCTAGCCACCATATCACAATTAAAAATTCACCTCAGGTTTACAGTTTGACAATCTCATCGCTTTTCATCATTCAGGTACACCACCTGAAAAACCGAGATTTTTAGTACACAATATATGTGACAATAGAGTAAAGCCTTCTTTACGAAATGCTGAAACTCGAACTTTCTGTTTCTTTTTGTTCTCGAGTTATTCGTAAAACATCCACGGCAGCTTTATACAGAAATGCATAGTAGAAACCCCGTTTACGGTACAAATAACTGCTTATCGGTAATATTTTGGAAAGGCAAATACAGGGGTCTGTAGCGCTTGGAGATCTCTCTTGAATGACGTATTACTTTACCGTTTCCAATAAACCGTTCATTTGCAAATAAAAGTGTAAGACACCAGAGTGATATTAATTAGTATTCATTAACATCGGTTAATCATAAATTATTGTCTTAAAAATTTCATCAGATCATAACAACAGACCATTGGCTATCAAGCAATGCGTGAATGACTTTCCTACAATTATTTTTGACTAAAAAAGAAGGCGTTAATGAGAAAAATAAAATTTAGGTAAAAACCGGGTAGGTTATGTCGACGCCAGAAAAGAAGTTAAAGTAGAATTAAAAAGAACCCGCTGTCGGATTCATCGAAAATTTTTGCACCTAGCGCCCAATTTTTATCTAATTTGTTGCAGTGCTGCAAAAGTACCTAATTTTCTAATGCCACAGCTATACACCAATTTAAATGTTTCAGTACTCTTTTCGTGCACCTTTGAAATACTGCAGAACCGTTTCTTAAACCAAATGGCATTCTTATAAATTGTTTTAATCGACAATATGTTTGAAATACCGTTTTTTGTCGACTTTCATTTGATGGAATCCTTTATTTGCATCTAAAGAAGTAAATCCTCTTTTCTCTTCAAAATGATTAAGTATCTCTTCTATTTTTTGTGTAGGATATTGGTCAGCTTTAGTAATCGAATTTAATTCATGATAATCAACACAAGCTCTTATATTACCTTCCTTTTTGTTGACCAGAACCACTGGTGATGACACCTAATGCTGAGACTCCTGTATCTCTTTCAAAGTCAAAAAGTTTCTTCTTGCAGTTTTTCCAGTTCTTCACTACACTGATATCAAATTAGATTACCGTAAGAGCTTTTTATACTCTCATTTTTAAAAAGAAAAACGACTCCATTTTTTGTAATATTTTTCAGAGACTTCAACGACTTTGCAACCAATTGTCGTTTAAAAAAAGCTATAGAAATCGTACATTTTTTCATTATGCTAGGATCATAACATCGAATTAGTCGTTTGAAGCGATTTTCACAAATGCAGTTTTTGTACTGATCAAATTTCTTTTGTGTAAATAGATCAGAACATAAAAGAATGACTTCAAGAGTTCTTAGCCTGAAAAATTTTTACCCCCTTTGGGTTTCTCAAGAAGTTCCCAAAAACGAATAAAATTCAAGTCACAATTGAAATCATCGTCAGGATAAAGAACCAAGGCACGAATAAATAACCGTCAAACCGGGCGTTTTTTACGGTTTAAAACCTTTAAAACCGACGTTTTGAATGGTTATAAACCATTTTAAATCGCAGTTCCCAAGGTTCTTAATCGTATAAACCGCGGTTTTAAACGGTTTTGAAAAACTGAGTGCATCATATTAACCCGTTAAACCGCGCATGGAGTAGTTTAAGACTTTCTTAACCACGATTCTTCACGGTTTAAAATTGACTGCGCGAGTTCACAAGTCTCTATAGAGGATTATAAAAAGAAGTCACTGGCTTTATGGTGAGAGACCTGAGTGCTGATAACTCATACTTTTAAAAGCGGATTGAATTTCAGTAATGCACTTCGAGTATGTTTACGGTTTTGTCAATTTTGTTTCCTCGCTGAGAAATCCGGCTTTACTGGAAAAAATCAGAATTTTGCCCCAAATTCGCATTCGTTTTCTCCACCAGAACTCACCTTTTACGCAATGGAAATATCAGATTCGGAATCAGCGTCAGACATCGGGATGTATTTTTTTTATATCTTATTCGAAATGCATCGAATGCATCGATGGCGAAATGTTGAATTTTCTAGAAATGGATGAAATTTTCGTTTTTTTGATGGGTAACATGTTTTTTTTAAGATTTCTCACCCAAAACATGTTTAAAAAAATTGTAATTCATGCGCATGAATCAACGCGACGAGCTCTATCGAACCATGTATAAATCAACGAAAACAGTTTTCCGCTCAACTTTTGCATTTCTAGCACCTTACTTTGTTCTCAACTTCGATTATTTTTTGTTTCATTTGTCGAGAAAATAGAACTGAAACTCATCATTTATAACTTTGTCGGATGAAGGTTTGAATGAATAATCCAACGATGATTTGAATGACACTTGATCGAACAATGTTAATATCATTTGGATAATATACAATTATTGGCTGCTTAAGAATAAAGCGATAATACTTAGCTGAGAACTATGTAAAAATTGAAGAAAAATAAATCATTTTAATAATGTATGACATACGTTAATGTTCTATTGTTATATCAGAAATAATATTTTTCTCATGTTTATTCAAATTGTTCTACAAATTCACCGTTGAGGTATTAATGAATTCTCTGATGTGATAGCGACCATCCGTAATTTTCCAGTTATGATTTACTCTTCAATACGGTACAAAACAATTATGATTTCGATTTTACAGCGGATAGTAAAATCGAGAGCCTATCGTTTTATCTGTCACTTTTTCCTGTAAACAGAGTATTATGCTAAAGAAATTTTTTTTTCCCATTCAGTCAATTTTCAATTTAATTTTAATATTTTTAGAAACAGTTTTAACATTTTTTTTATAATCTTCTATCCATGAATGATTATCTGGTAATAGTTTTCGAGCCGCTTTAATTGCTTGTTCAAAACTATTCAATGCATTCTTATATTTACCTTGTTCAAAATATACTCCACCCATATTATTATGAGTTGCTGATATATCTTGAGAATGATTAATACCATGATTGCGATAAAGTGTAAGTGCTTTCTTATAATTTTGTAATGCTAAATTTAAATTTCCACGTTTTTGATACAAATATCCAACATTATGGAAAATTTTCATACTTGATGGACAATTATTATTCATAGTTAATAATTTTAAACAAATTACGTTTTTTATTTCTTCAAAATTTTCATTCACTATTTGTTTATTTGTTGATGTTGTAAATAAATATTCCTCCTTATTCATATAATATAATTTAATTAATCTTTCAGCTTTATGAAAATTTTCTAAAGCGCTACGTAAATCGTTTTTTTCATAGCGTATTAAACCAATATTATTATAAAGTATGGCTTGTCTTTTGTCGTTTGGAGGTAATTCTATCGCCATTTTTTCGTAATAATATTCAGCTTTATCATATTCACCAATATCGAATAAAAAATTACCTAATGTTAGTAATGTACATGTTTCTTCATCCATATTTTTCTTTAAATATTTTATTAATTCAATTGATCTTAAATCTTGTTCACCCGTTAATGATAATTTTATTAAATATAAATTTTGATTTTTAATGTGTCTAACTGAGTCAATGCGCCATACTGTTCCCATTGAAAATAAAATTTCTTTTTCTTCTGGATATTGACTAATATTTGTTATATCAGCAAATGGTTTACTACTACAATAATTACCATCAAGTTCTAACTCGAAGAGTACAGTTTCACAACCTAAACGATTCTGATCAATATCAGCAAACATATAAGCAACATCTTTATCATTTGTTGCTGATAAAAATCCATTCATTGATATTAGACCATGTTGATTATCAATTAAATTTCGTACAATATTAACTGGTAATTTTTTTCCACAATAAGCTCGTCTAATATTATTTCCACGTCTCATATTTAAATCAAGCAATTGTTCATGAAGATCAGTTATATATGAACGAAATGGATATACAGTAGCTATATCTTCTGTGCGAAATGCTTTATTTACTAAACGATATAAAAATGAATCATGTGTCCACCATTGAACTGCTTGTTCTGAGCAATAACCTTGTTGAAAATTATTAATTTTCTTTAGAACTGTTTCGTTACCAAAATAATATCTCCGACATTCATCTAACATTTCATTAGTTGTTTCACTTGTATGCTTCATTCGAAGTAAAATTTCAATTAACATTTGAAACCAAATGAAAACAACTGATTCTTTACTTAAATTTTTAATTGAATTTTCTTTCAGATCAGAATTAAATACAGTTATTGGTGGTACGATTTGCTTCAAATCATCGTCGTTATCATCATTATTATTCCTAAACTGTTGTTGTTGTACTTGGTCGTACTCTTTAATATCGATGAGTAATTGTTTACTCATTTGATCTTTATCATAAAAAATATCTTTAATTTTTGAATATTGAGTTATCCATTCAAAATTCATATTTTCTAATTCGGAATATAAGTAAATTGATATATCTGGTCGATCGTGTATAAGTGCAATCATACTTTCAGCATGTGGATGTGAAATAATAATAAAAAAATTACCACGCTGAATGGGATTTATGTATGAAATGAAATCGCACGGTTTACCAAATGTTTTTAAATAATAAAATATAGTATTAAGACGATCTTTTATGCGCTGATAATTGTGAGATTTTTCATTTTCATTATGAATCCAAATGCCACTGAAATTTTGATGTATTTTTTCTTCATTAATCAATGATCTTGAACACAAACACAAAATTTTTCTACTTGCATCAGCATTTATTATTTATTCTAACTTTGACGATCGTATCCCAAGGGGGAAAAAGCGCACTTCGTGGCGTGCCGGAGTGGCTCGGAGTACCGCGGGCTTAAGAAATTTTATTGAACTGAACTGTCCCAGAAATCTGTTCCTACAAGCAGAACAAAGACGTTCTGTTTGTGGGAAAAGAATTTACAGAACAGAACACAATTGTCCCGTTATCTGGGAAATTTCCTCAAGGAAGGTGCCGGGTTGTCCTGTTCTAGGAACATAACTGTTCTGTTTCGGGAATCGGATTGTTCCGTTTTGGGAGAAGAACATTGAGAGAAATATCACTATTTTATTTTAAAAGAAAACAACGCACTTCGAAACTGGAAGTCCGATTTTAGAATTTCGGGAAAACCAGCTCCATTCTCAGAAAACTAGTATATAAATTTAGTAATTCTTTTGCATGTGTAGGTAGTTCGGACGTTAGTCTACAATTATGCAAGTTCCAGGACTCCGGCGATCGTCGTTCGAACAGGGCTCGCTTTCCCCTAGCGCGTGTCTATCTCGAAATCTCGAAATGCCATAGAATATAGGTAATCGACTACCCTAAGCGATTATGATCTATGAGCTGTCCTGATCGCTTCCTGACAGTTTCCTGGAGTCAGCATGAGATTTGACCGAGATATAAGCATTTTAATTTTTGTTAATAACAGGCGAAAAACCGCTTTTTCACAGAAATACCTCTCGCGAAGTTATTGTCATTTTTACACTAAGACAAATGTGGCCATGATGCTCAACGTAGTCGATTACCTATATTCCATGGCATGTCGAGATTCCCAGACTTGTGCTCGGAGATAAGCGAGCACTGTCCGAACGACGATAGTCGGAATGCTGGAGTTTACATAATTGTAGAGTAACGTCCGAATTACCTACGTATACAAAAGAATTATTAACTTTGTATGTTAGTTTTTTGAGAATGGAGCTGGTTTTGAAACAAATTTTGCTTGCAAAAATATGTCTTAAGGTCTTAGCACTTCAACATCTATTCGCGACGCACAAAATTTTGTTATTATTTAAAATATTCAGAGGCCTTACTCCACTTTTTCTAGTTGATAGAATACCAAGGTCTGTAGCAACAACAACTATGACTTTGCGATCTGCTTCTAATAAACGCATGAACGCATACCATACCCATAAAGTTAAGCTCGAAACTACATTTTTCCATGGACAATTAAGCAGTGGAATGCCTTACCTAATACTATCACTACAATTTCAGCTTTAAGAAAATTCCGTTCTGCCATAAACGATTTTTTTCCCTACTATAAATGGCCGAGATTCAAAAACATTGAAAGAAAATATGACATGATTCTCAATCAAATGCGCGTAAATTTTTCTCGCTTGGATGATGATCTCTATAAAAAAACTTAGTTAGTAGCCCTCAGTGTGCTTGTGGGAAGGCTGAAACAGTACAGCATTTCTTTCTGGAGTGTCAATATTACCAGCAGAGACGAACTATCTTTGAAAATGACTTGAATGCTCTAGTAAACGATACCCTCACTCTCGAACACATACTCTTTTTAAAATCTGTACCATCTTTAAACGTTACAGAAATGAATGAACTGTATAATATCGTAATTACATTTATTCGCGACACACAAAGATTCTAATTTCCCGATATCCTTCTCTCCCTGTCGTTCATTAGTTATTCTCTGTTTCTTTTTTCCTTATTATTATTTTTGTTGTTGTCATTACTTTCTCTCTTAAATGTTGTCGCCGTGTATTGTTTCTATACATGTATTCTAGTGCTGTCCTCTGTCCTCAGTCAATTTATGTTAAGATGTAATGGGTTCGCCTCCTTCTTCTCATAATTTCTACTGATTTTTTCAACATTTCTTCTAAATAAATAAAGTTTATATCAACATGATGATGAAAACCGCAGTTCGCTATCTATCAGTGCAATCGAGTGATTCCAAAAGTAACCTATGGCCTTGTATTTTGGAACGGATAGTAGATACTTTTTGACTAATGCCTGCGTATGAGTATAGTAGCTGCGTATAAGAATTATGCGGAACGCCCACTAAGTGTCATACGGGCTTTTGAATATCCATCAACCGATCAGTGCAGCTCGTTGGCCTGAGTAAGATAGCTTTCTATTCTGTTATAGGAAAGTAATACATCTCAGTAAAAAAGACCTTTTAGGATATTCATTTTTCACCATTCTACGCGACATGTTTGATTTTGTGTTCTTACATGCTAGACGGTGTTATGGAATTAACAAAAACTGCCAGTAATTGTTATCGATCAAGTGTCACTTTTTGACGAAAACGATTTTGTTCACTTCGTCACAAATACAGTCAAAGTTATCTTGTTTTGCTTACTGTGCAGGATATTGAGTAATCCCACCTGATATAACTGCCAGCAGCGATTTACAGCACGTCTGTAACAGTCCTTAATTTTTGATGTTTTTCATTGTCGTATCAAGCATTGTTATTCCTAACCGTGAATTTCTTTCACCATCTGTCCTTAATTTCTTCTTATTTGTTAATTCTATAGCTCCATTTAACATATGAGAATACAAATGAGCGGTGTCTACTGCCACAATTCTGTGAAACTGCAGAATTCCAGCTGGATCTGGTCAGATTCTGGTAAAACCAGAATTGGAATTCTACCGAAATTTAGCAGAATCTGAACAGAATCTTAGTAATCGTATGTATTTGAATGTGTCGAGTTCTGCCAGTTCTAAATATTTCCATGGAACTGTAGAACTGAACACTGCTGATACAAAAGCGAGCATGGTGCTCGGTCAGCTGACGATAACCCTTGAATGGGAAAGGTTCAAAAAATGTTCTTTATCACACTTCACTGAAACATATATCAGCAGATGCAGTTTTTGATGCTGATTTTGAATATTAGCTTAGAACACATTTTAGACATTGATGAATTGATTTTACTAATAAATGTCCATATTTCAGCTAGACCAAAATTCTGACTCTTTCTGTTGCTAAAAAGCTGGAAAAGGTGCACAGAAAGAAAGTCAAGAAAATTTTGAGTATATAGACGGCACTTTAGTGGAAAAAATGTTTTTGACTATGCAATTTGAGTTACAAAATGATTTGTTTTTCACCACTGATCAGCACGTCACGACATCCGTAGTGAGATGGTAGTCAAAATTTTCGTTACGTCGAGTATAGTAGTACTCCGATGTTACCACTCGGTTATGAACGAATAAAATCTAGATTTACAACTTTTGTGTGGAACTATACCTTCTTCCAACGAAAACCCAATCGACATACGTATTCTGAAAGTGCGAATTTAGACTTCATAAAGGAGGGTCAGTATTGATATCTAAGTTCGGAGCTTTCAGAATAATTATAAGATCAGGAGAAAAGATTCTGTGCTGTAATTCCGATACGGCATCCATTTTTCATCACAACTTCTGATCCACTCAACGAATATCAAGCTCAACTTTTTTTTCGATACACACAGACTCGAGTTGCATTCGTAGAAACTTTTTGAGTCTCATCTATTCAGTGATTTTAGAGAAAACAGTCGCAGAAGCTTTCGAAATGTAATTCCGTTACATTTGGCTCGCATGTCGCATAGAATAGCAAAAATTGAATATGTTGAAAGGTATTTTTTACTGTGATACATTGCTGTCCTAGCATATTCTCCATCCAGAATTAGAGATGAGATCGTTACTGTTACTTCTGTTACTGTAGTGATGGTAACGGTTTTACACTTCACTATTAAAACGCTAAGTTCATATGTTCGAATCTCTATTCGTACAAAACTGATTTGTGTTTTTCGATAGTTTCACTTTAGAATACTATAATGGAATATTTTTTCCTACATGTCACGCGCAGGACCACATTTCTTCAATCAAACGTGTTTTATGTGTAAACCTGTTACTATAGTAACGGGTAACGGCCCCACGCCTAGTATGTATGATAAGAGAAAGTGTACACTGACCTTGGTGTAGTTATTTTGAAACAGTTACTGTTTTCGTTAGTTGTCATTTGATTGTTTGGTGCCCGAGGATCCTGAAACAGTTGAAATAATCTAAAAAATAAAGTATTTGAAATGATGAATTGTGATACAACGTTTCTTCTTAGAAAAATATCTCTCGATTACTATATCTAACGAAGCAAAGTTCCCTACGGAATAACCATATTAACAAAGAGGCTTTAAAAAAAGTAGTTAGAAATCTCACAGTAAGGGTGAAAGTTATGACGATTTTTAGCATATTTATGACGATATAGACTTTCTGATAAACCACGGATTCTTGAGGTGAACGAAACCTTGAAATGGTACATTGTGAATGGAAGGAAGGAGAAATGAAGAATGTATCACTGAGTTAGAAAACCTATATAAATCTACCTGCTTATGAAACATTCCAGACAATACGAGCATCAAGAAAAACAAAAAGATTCTTTGAATGTTTAATGAAATATTATGTACAAACAAACAAAAAATTATCAATCAGGCGTTGTCTGTAGTTCTTTTCTATCTTCTCTATCTGTTTCTATCTCTTTTTTATTCATCATTGTTACCAACATTTCATAATACAGTTGAACAGACTTATAATCTTTTGGTAATGCGTGTACAGCAATTTCCAGGGCTTTTTGATAATATGTTAAAGAATCATCATATTTACGTTCACTACAGTAGACTCTTGCAATATTACCATATATAGCCGAAAGATCAAACTTTTCATCATCTGTTGTCGCAAGAGACTCCATTCGAAATGAAGAACATTGTCCTTGTTGTCTCTTTTCACTGTGCGTTAGTGGATCAGAACAAAGTATTTTCTGATGGTCTATTTTCAAGTTTTCAAATGCTGAGTCATAACTTTTAGCTGCTGCTGAATACTGTCCATTTATGCTATAAATAACTCCAATATTATTCTTAATAACACTAATAGAAGAATGATCTAGTGGTATTTCGTTTAATAATAACTGATAATATTTTAATCCTAATCCATTTTCTCCAATTTGAGATAAGAAATTTCCAAAAGTTAAGTACGTTAATGATTCACCAACTTTATTCTGCATAAGGTCATGTATCATTTGTAATTCATTACTTTCTTCTTCAGTAAATACTAATTGTATATCGGACTATCTATTTAGAACGTCCGACTTTAGAAGAAGAGGATTAGAAGAAGCCAAACAAGTGAGGTAAAGTTTACAAATTTTGGACTAGCATCCAGTGTTTATAGAATTTAGGCCATTCCAAAGTAGTTTGACAGATATTTATTTACAGAAACTTATTATCACGTTCAGTTATTATCACGACTCCTTTCTTGGCACTAGATATGTACGATGAGAGAGTTGATTTGAAGGTCAACGATTCATTTCCATACGTTCTAATGAGAATGGCGAATCATCTTTGATTTAGAATCAGTATTATCATTGCTAATTGCTTTCTCATATCGATGTATTTGGTAAAGGAAACAAAGTTTTGTCTCATTGTCGAAGGATGATTGCCGGTGAAAATCGTCCGAAATCCGATATAACGTAGATTTAGAGTCATATATGGAAAGAAAATCTGTTTATAAATACAAAGTTATGCTCGCTTTGTCTCGGTAACCTGTAGCATTTCATTTTCCTGATGGCTAAATACATGTTTGATCAATAACTCCGTAGAAGTCAAGCAAAATAAGGCAATAATTTACAAGCATGTGTACATGAATATAGTCTCATAACAGTAATTGCACTACTAACCATAGGATTGTTGTGAAATCAAACAGTTATTAAACGCTAGCCGCTAGCGAGAACGCTAAATATCTGACCAAGTCGACAGTGATATAAAACTACATTTGTGTACACATGCTTTTAGATTATTGACCCATTTTGCTTGCCTTCTATTATGCTCCCCTCCCCCCCTTCGTCAGAAACACAAACTTTTTTTTTAAAAGTCTATATTGATCTAAGCACATAATGAGATAGCCCACACTATCTACTATCAGGATCCAATGTTACTTGGCCCTTATCGAAAAGGTATGGGGGGCTTTAGAAAAGTTTTCTACAAATCTTGAAAAGCTGGCTTTTGGAAAAGGTTTTATTTTCGGATTAAGAAGCAAATTGGAAATTATTTTTAGTATATAGGAAAATAGAGCAAACATTTCTGATCAAAATGAGATATCTCCCAGCTCTGAATGACGTACAGATCAAGAGTTATGAACTTAACTTTACCAAAGTTAATGAGACTTTTTCGAATTTTGGACTTTTGACGCTGACCATTAATTTGAGAAGTAAAATATAAAAAATCCGACCCTGCCAGCCTCTAGCCACATGTGCTTTCGTCAATTTAAGACCAGCCCGAGCTCTCTAGAACGTTAAATTAGCGATAAAACACGTATTTAACCATTGGGAAAATGAAAACTTATAAGATGATATTTAATTTTTCTAATTTTTGTTTCGATACTTTCTCTATTAGTGCATGCGGTAATAATAACGAGCATTTTATTCCATCCTTCTGATGATAGTACGAAAAACGAAGAATGATCTACCAGTATCATCGTATCCTGTTTTCATCAATATAGTGGTAAAAACCCGAAAAGAAAGTATTTGTATATAATCAGTTTTGTATGTTTATTCAACTGTGCCAAATGAAGACTTTGTGGAAGTCGAAACGTTACCATTTGTAAATAAATTATCAAGAAAGAGAATTTAGGAGATCCAAAAAGTCTCTCTTTTTCAGATGTCCTAGATGAATAATACTTATACCAAATTTTATTCATGAATAATTCAATTGATTTTATTCGAAATACTGTTCCAATTGAAAACAGAATTAAATTTTCAAAATTACAATATGGTATGGTAAATATATTTGTATCAATATCAATTTC